TTGTTATTTTCCTGCTCCATGTAAACAGCGGCAATTAACAATGCGGGTCTGTCATCGCATGTACAGGAGAAAGTCAATCTGTGCCATATGTACATTACACATGTCATCGGTTTGTCAATGTTTGACGCAATGTAAATAAACTGCTTTGTAGTCTGAGCTCTCACTGACATGGCGCAGGAACAGCACTGGTCCTATAGATACACGGTGGAATTAGCCGTCTAGTCTTCTAGACCAGTGTAAAACTATCCTTTGCTATGAACTGGTGGCATTAGTGTAGTACAGCCTTTCTCAGCTCAACATGGAGGAACCCTTGAAATGTTTTTTAAATCTTGGGGAACCCTTGCTAAACTTATTGTATCTGCCACTCATGATACTTTAGTGTTAACAGTAAGTTACAAAAAAAAAAAAAAAAAAAAAAAAAGAAGTAGTAGCGTGCCGTACTTATCTTATATGACACATATGGCTGCTCTATTCAACAAAACTATACTGGGCAATAATAATGAAATAAAAATGAATAATAAAAATGATGGCCACAAAAAGACAGACAGCAAAATTGTTGTATCTCTTTACATCGGCAGTCCCTGAGGTGCTACTCTTTATTAGAGGTCTGTGAAATTCTCTTCTGCGTTGGAGGTCATTGGTGAAGGTCTCCCTTATGTTGGTGGTCAGTAGAAGGATTGCCCTTTCATTCGTGGTTAGCAGCAGAAGGGCTTTAATTCGCTGGAGGTCATTGGGGGAAAATGCTTATTACGCTGACCTTTAACTGGGAAAAGTGCTCCTTAAATTGGTGGTCAGTGGGAAGAATGCTCCTTACATTGGTGATCAGTGGGAAGAATGTCCCTTACATTGGTGATCAGTGGGAAGAATGCTCCTTACATTGGTGATCAGTGGGAAGAATGTCCCTTACATTGGTGGTCAGTGGGAAGAATGCTCCTTACATTGGTGATCAGTGGGAAGAATGCTCCTTACATTGGTGGTCAATGGGAAGAATGCTCCTTATATTGGTGGTCATTGGGAAGAATGCTCTTTACATTGGTGGTCAGTGGGAAGAATTCTCCTTGCATTGGTGGTCAGTAGGAAGAGTGCTCCTTACATTGGTGATCAGTGGGAAGAATGTTCCTTACATTGGTGATCAGTGGGAAGAATGTTCCTTACATTGGTGATCAGTGGGAAGAATGTTCCTTACATTGGTGATCAGTGGGAAGAAATCTCCTTACATTGGTGATCAATGAGAAGAATGTCCCTTACATTGGTGATCAGTGGGAAGAATGTCCCTTACATTGGTGATCAGTGGGAAGAATGTCCTTTACATTGGTGATCAGTGGGAAGAATGTCCCTTACATTGGTGATCAGTGGGAAGAATGTTCTTTACATTGGTGGTCAGTGGGAAGAATGTTCCTTACATTGGTGATCAGTGGGAAGAATGTCCCTTACATTGGTGATCATTGGAAAGAATGTCCCTTACATTGGTGATCAGTGGGAAGAATGTCCCTTACATTGGTGATCATTGGAAAGAATGTCCCTTACATTGGTGATCAGTAAGAATGTCCCTTACATTGGTGATCAGTGGGAAGAATATCCCTTACATTGGTGATCAGTGGGAAGAATGTCCTTACATTGGTGATCAGTGGGAAGAATATCCCTTACATTGGTGATCAGTGAATGCTCCTCACATTGATGGTCAGTGGGAAGAATGCTCCTCACATTGATGGTCAGTGGGAAGAATGCTCCTTACGTTGATGATAAATAATAAGGCCCCATGCGCTCAAAAACCTAATTACAACTAATATAGGCTGCTAACACCTGCACCTTGTTACCTAAAAGTGAAATAAAGCTAAAAATACAAACCAATATGGTGTAGCGCTCTAATAAATAAACTTACTTATCCCTATTGGGATAAGTAAGTGAAAAAATAGTGAATGAATAAATGGTCTATTAAGTCAATTATAGAGCATTTAATTATTCACTATTTTTTCACTTACTTATCCCAATAGGGATTGGTTCACTATTATATATATATTTATTTATTAGAGCGCTACACCATATTTGTTTGTATCCTTAGGTTGATGGTCAATGAAAAGAATGTCCCTTAGGATAAATGTTACTTACATCAGTGGGAAGAATACCCCAGTCAGAAATTTCCGATTGCTCAAGGAAAGCTTTGCAACCCCTGAAGGAACACTAGGGTTCCTTGGAATCCTGGTTGAGAGAGGCAGCTATAGGACAATTAGATTATTTTACCTCTATATAGGGGCACATCACATTCAGGAAATAAGTGGGTTTTTTATTGTTACCTGCAGGAGCTGGACCACACAGTGGCTAAAACCCCAGCTGTTCTAGAGAGTGTCAATTTTTTGTGGTATTGTGCCAACTGTAATGGGTTCTGCTTGTGAAAACATCACCAAGAACAGACAAAAGTTCTCAGACCCATGTCACATGAGAGAGTTAGGGTACATTAAACAGATTAGAGCACTATTCAAATTTTGATAAATACAGTAAGAAGTTATTTTTATGTTTTATCAAGAACTCAAGTCAATACAGTTTGGGGGTCAATATACCCCCTTCATCAGGGCTTGAAGTCTGGTTACCCAAATCACTGCTGCCTTATTCATTTGGCTTGCATCAAATGTCCAATATCTTTCTGAACTTACTGCCAGGATTCAAGCCCTGATGAAGGGATATTTGAGCCCCTGAAATGTGTTAGAGCTTTTGTGCAAATATTTACCTTTTTGCAGGTAAATCTTTTTTGTTTTGACAAATTTAATAGGAGTTTGGCATCTTTAACCCGGGCTCCAGGGTGACCTTGTCTCAGCACTGTTAGTGGGAAAACCAGTGAAGTAGTTCTAGGGAGGCTATTAACAGGGCCCGGTCCTTGAGTAGCATAACATAAACTAAATACGTTTTGTGGTCAGACCTTTGCTTACATTCACTATGTCTTGTATCTTCACACAATTAGACTTTCACTAAGAGACAACAATGTTCATCGCACGCTTTTTTTTCCCCAAATCTAGAAACTTTTGTGTTATTGTTGGAAAATGTTATTCAATCCCTAGTTAAGTGGTAGTAGATAATTGGGCACTTACAGTTGCAAGAAAAAGTATGTGAACCCCTTGGGATTACGTGGAGTTTTGCATGAATTGGGCATAAAATGTGCTCTGAACGTCATCTAAGTCACAACAATAGAAGAACACAGTCTGCTGAACATAATACTACACAAACATTAGATGTTGCCATGGTTTAATTGCACATAACATGTAAACATTCACAGTGCAGGGAGGAAAAAATTATGTGAGGCCCTAGCTTAATGACTTCTCCCAGAGCTAATTGGAGCCAGGAGTGAGCCAACCTTGACTCCAATCAGTGTGATGATATTGGATGTGTTGCTGACAGCTGTCCTGCCCTTAAAAAACACACACCTGTTTTGGGTTTACTGGTTTCAAGAAGCACTGTCTGATGTGAACGATGCCTCGCAGAAAAGAGCTCTCAGAAGACCTATGATCAAGAATTGTTGACTTGCATGAAGCTGGAAAGGGTTACAAAAGTATCTTCAAAAGCCTTGATGTTCCTGTGTCCACGGTAAGACAGACTGTCTACAAATGGAGAAAGTTTAGCACTGTTGCTACTCTCCCTAGACGTGGTCGTCCTGTAAAAATGACTGCAAGAGCACAGCGCAGAATGCTGCATGAGGTAAAGAAGAATCCCAGAGTGTCAGCTAAAGACCTACAGAAATCTCTGGCACATGCTAACATTTTTGTTGACACATCTACAATAAGGAAAACATTAAACAAGAATGGAGTCCTGGGAGGACACCACGGAGGAAGCCATTGCTGTCCAAAAAGAATATTGCAGCACGTTTGAAGTTTGCAAAAGAGCACCTGGATGTTCCACAGCACTACTGGCAAAATATACTGTGGACAGATGAAACCAAGATTGAGTGTTTGGGGAAGAACACACAAACACTGTGTGGAGAAAAAAGGCACAGCACACCAACATCAAAACCTCATCCCCACTGTAAAACATGGCGGAGGGAGCATCATGGTTTGGGGCTGCTTTGCTGCCTAAGGGCCTGGATGGATTGTTGTCATTGATGGGAAAATGAATTCCAGAGTTTATCAAGACATTTTGCAGGAAAACGTACGACCATCTGTCCGCCAACTGAAGCTCCGCAGAGGATAAGTGATGCAACAGGACAATGACACAAAGCATACAAGTAATTCAACAAAACAATGGCTGCAACAGCACAGAATACGCCTTCTGGAGTGGCCCAGTCAGAGTCCTGACCTCAACCCGATTGAAATGCTGTGGCATGACCTTAAGAGAGTGATTCACACCAGACATCCCAAGAACATTGCTACACTGAAACAGTTTTGTGAAGAGGAGTGGTCCGAAAGTTCTCCAGATCGTTGTGCAGGTCTGATCTGCAACTACAGGAAACGTTTGGTTGAGGTTATTGCTGCCAAAGGAGGGTCAACCAGTTATTAGGTCCAAAGGTTCACATACTTTTTCCTCCCTGCACTGTGAATGTTTACATGTTATGTGCAATTAAACCATGGCAACATCTAATGTTTGTGTAGTATTATGTTCAGCAGACTGTGTTCTTCTATTGTTGTGACTTAGATGACGTGCAGAGTACATTTTATGCCCAATTCATGCAAAACTCCACGTAATCCCAAGGGGTTCACATACTTTTTCTTGCAACTAATTCATACCATTACCTGCTTCTAGACATCCACCCAATTGACGTTTGATAACAGGACACTGAAGACCCGTTTGTTGTTTTGCTTTTCATGTGATGACATCATTTCATGTTTATTATATCTCATGTAACTTTTGAATAACCAATGCCTGTATGTTATACTTTGTGTTTACAGGAAGCTGCAGTGATAATGGCCCATATTGATATGTGTTCCCCCCTGAGCTATACATAATTGATGATGGTGTGTGCATCAGTCATTCTCTGATCCGGTAATCACATTCCATTGTGTTGGTTTTGTTTCCAGACCTCAGGTGAGAAAGTCAGTAAGCTGAGTCTGGTGGATTTAGCCGGAAGTGAAAGAGCCACGAAGACGGGCGCCGCAGGGGAGCGTCTGAAAGAAGGGAGCAATATAAACAAGTGAGTGTGTGTGCGGCCCTCTGGCTTAATGGGTCTTCTACATAGAATGGCAGATCAATGTGCTGCGCAGAGGTACTGCCATCTTACAGCTTACCGTGTGCTCTATGTCTGAAGAGCGCTGATAGAACACTGCCTTCCCTTCGCTGCATACCTGTGTTCTGTGAATGGAGAGTGCTAATCTAACACTGCCTATTCACTGCATTCTGTGTGCTCTGTGAATGGAGAGTTCTAATCTAACACTGCCTATTCACTGCATACTGTGTGCTCTGTGAATGGAGAGTTCTAATCTAACACTGCCTATTCACTGCATACTGTGTGCTCTGTGAATGAATGGAGAGTGCTAATCTAACACTGCCTATTCATTGTATACTGTGCTTTGTGAATGGAGAGTTCTAATCTAACACTGCCTATTCACTGCATACCCTGTGTTCTGTGAATGGAGAATGCTTATCTAACACTGCCTATTCACTGCATACTGTGTGCTCTGTGAATGGAGAGTTCTAATCTAACACTGCCTATTCACTGCATACTGTGTGTTCTGTGAATGGAGAGTGCTAATCTAACACTGCCTATTCACTGCATACTGTGTGCTCTGTGAATGGAGAGTTCTAATCTAACACTGCCTATTCACTGCATACTGTGTGTTCTGTGAATGGAGAGTGCTAATCTAACACTGCCTATTCACTGCATACTGTGTGTTCTGTGAATGGAGAGTGCTAATCTAACACTGCCTATTCACTGCATACTGTGTGCTCTGTGAATGGAGAGTTCTAATCTAACACTGCCTATTCACTGCATACTGTGTGCTCTGTGAATGGAGAGTTCTAATCTAACACTGCCTATTCACTGCATACTGTGTGTTCTGTGAATGGAGAGTGCTAATCTAACACTGCCTATTCATTGCATACTGTGCTCTGTGAATGGAGAGTTTCAAACTAACACTGCCTATTCATTGCATACTGTGTGCTCTGTGTCTGAAGAGCGCTAATATAATACTTCTTATTCACTGCATATCGTACACTTTGTGTTTGGATGGCTGCTAATATGCATGTAAACGAGATCAAATCTGGAAATATTGTGTCTGTTTGCTCTCATTTACAGTGTATGTAATCACTCACAATTATTGTCTTCTGTTCACTCACAATTTGGTCCTTTTTTGTCTTGAAATATCCCACTGAGGATAACTCTGCAGCACAATTACATACCCCCCCAAAAAATAGACCATCAAAACGTATTGTACCCAACACTGGTCTAGATAGATAGATAGATAGATAGATAGATATATATATATATATATATATATATATATATATATAGACAGTTTTGCTTCAAGTTCTTAAAATTGTGCTTGAAATTTGCACGTTTATCTGGTTAGAGTTTTACTTTATCACATCCTTTGCTCTGTATCTGGGGTTCCAGCTATTTATTTGGGGTGCAGTGAATGCTACGTACGTTACTATTTGCTTGTCTGCCCCATTAAACCTAACTTTTATTTGTCATTCAATGAACTCAATCATTGTAAAATTTAATCTGTCTTAATTGTATGTTTTTTTTTATATAGCATATATTTATTATAAAATCTATTTTGCACTCCATAAGAATTCACAGTGCCATTCCATTTGATTTTATGTTGTACTGATGACATCTTATTGCTGGCATAAGATCACAATACTGTTGGTGCTTTGTGTATAGGATTTTTAATATTGAGAGATGAAGATGACAAGAAGTTCATCAGTTTTATTTTGTTTGTTTCCCAACAGATCCCTCACCACCCTGGGCTTGGTCATCTCTGCCCTGGCAGACCAAGGAGCTGGGAAGAATAAGAATAAGTTTGTTCCGTATCGGGACTCTGTGCTGACATGGCTGCTGAAGGTAAGTATGACCTTGTTTTGTCTTTGTGCCCCAGTAATGTTTATATCATGACATACAATGAGTACACACACAGTTTCTTTTGTAACAGTTGAAATAAAAATTTTTCACATTTTACATTCTTGCTGTTTTTATATCCTCGGATACAGTGAGGGAATAAGCAAAGAGGGACACAGGCTTTATGCCTGCACCACTTTTCCAAAGCTGGGAAAATGGAGCAGATTGAGGTCCGCTCTAGCCTAGTTTTCTATATTGAAAACTTTTGTGATCCTTTTGTTAATAATGAGCTATCTGCTACCTGTTCTATGCTGTGCCCATGCCAGCTGAGTGCAGGAGGGAGGAGGATGGCTGATAACCCTGCAGGACTCTGCTCATGCAGTGTATTTATTGCAAAGATAAAGATGCAAGTGAACTACAGGTGAAACTCAAAAAATTAGAATATCGTGCAAAACTTCATTTATTTCAGTAATGCAACTTAAAAGGTGAAACTAATATATGAGATAGACTCATTACATGCAAAGCAAGATAGTTCAAGCCGTGATTTGTCATAACTGTGATGATTATGGCTTACAGCTCATGAAAACCCCAAATCCACAATCTCAGAAAATGAGAATATTACATGCAATCAATAAAACAAGGATTGTACATAGAACAATATCGGACCTCTGAAAAGTAGAAGCATGCATATGTACTCAGTACTTGGTTTGGGCCCCTTTTGCAGCAATTACTGCCTCAATGCGGCGTGGCATGGAAGCTATCCGCCTGTGGCACTGCTGAGGTGTTATGGAAGACCAGGATGCTTCAGCTCTTCTGCATTGTTCGGTATCATATCTCTCATCTTTCTCTTGGCAATGCCCCATAGATTCTCTATGGGGTTCAGGTCAGCGAGTTTGCTGGCCAATCAAGCACAGTAATCCCACGGTCATTGAACCAGGTTTTGGTGCTTTTGGCAGTCTGGGCAGGTGCCAAGTCCTGCTGGAAAATGAAGTCAGCATCCCCATAAAGCTCGTCTGCGGAAGGAAGCATGAAGTGGTCCAAAATCTCCTGGTAGACGGCTGCGTTGACCCTAGACTTAATGAAGCACAGTGGACCAACACCAGCAGATGACATGGCTTCCCAAATCAACACAGACTGTGGAAAGTTCACACTGGACTTCAAGCATCTTGCAGTGTGTGCCTCTCCATTCTTCCTCCATACCCTGGGTCCTTGTGCTTCTCCATTCTTCCTCCATACTCGGGGTCCTTGGTTTCCAAATGAGATGCAAAAGTTGCTCTCATCAGAAAAGAGGACTTTGGACCACTGAGCAACAGACCAGGTTTGTTTTTCTTTAGCCCAGGTAAGACGCTTCTGACGTTTGTTGTTCAGGAGCAGCTTGACAAGCGGAATACGACATTTGAAGCCCATGTCCAGTATCCGTCTGTGTGTGGTGGCTCTTGATGCACTGACTCCAGCCTCAGTCCACTCCTTGTGAAAGTCCCCAACACTTTTGAATGGCCTTTTCCTGACAATCCTCTCCAGGTTGCGGTCATCCCTGCTGCTTGTGCACCTTTTTCTTCCACACTTTTTCCTTCCACATAACTTTCTATTAATGTGCTTTGATACAGCACTTTGGGAACATCCAACTTCTTTTGCAATTACCTTTTGAGGCTTTCCCTCCTTATGGAGGGTGTCAGTGATGGTTTTCTGCACAACTGTCAGGTCAGCAGTCTTTCCCATGATGGTGATTCCTACTGAACCAGACTGAGAGACCATTTAAAGGCTCAGGAACCCTTTGCAGGTGTTATGGCTTAATTAGCTGATTAGAGTGGGACACTTTGAGCCGAGAATATTGCACCTTTTCACAATATTCTCATTTTCTGAGATTGTGGATTTGGAGTTTTCATGAGCTGTAAGCAATAATCATCACAATTATGACAAATCACGGCTTGAACTATCTTGCTTTGCATGTAATGAGTCTATCTCATATATTAGTTTCACCTTTTAAGTTGCTGCACTGAAATAAATGAACTTTTGCACACATATATTTTTTTTTTTTTTTTATTTCACCTGTATCTGTAGACAGTTGACATGCCCCAAGTCCAGTCTGACAGAGACCCGTAGCAGTTTTTTTATATTGAAAACTGTCATTAATCCTTTCATTAGGTGCAGAACCAACCAGTTTCTTTTCCATTCTGAAGAAGAAATTGATGGCATGTTGCAGATAGACCTGAAACCGGTTTATCTGCTTAGTCGATATGGCGCATGCCACTCGTGCCTTTATAATGGTGCTTGAAGCATAATTAATTCCCCAGTTATGTATTCCACTAGTGGCTGTATGTTTCCGACATGGCTAAAAGTATGAGGAACCCCTTTCCAAATAATGAAGTTCAGGTATTTCCAGTGAGGAGGACTAGTAATGCTACAGCATACAAAGACTTTTTAGATAGTTTTGCTCTTCCAACCTTGTGGTAACAGTTTGGTGAAGACCCTTTTCTGTTCCAGCATGATTGTGCCCAGTGTATAAAGCCAGCTCCATAAAGACATGGTATGACCAATTTAATGTAGAGGAAATCAAGTGACCTGCACATCAGAGGTGATAAAACACCTCTGGGATGAAGTGGAATGCCGATTGATAGCTAGGTCTCCTGTGTACAAAGTCAACTTTGTAAAGATGTGGTGTGACCAGTATGATGTGGAAAACCTTGAGTGGCCTACACAGAGCCCTGACTTAACGTTACTAAACACCTTTTGGCATGTAATGGAACACTGATGGTGACATGCACTGTAATCGGGGCCAGATTTACTATTATGCCCAGTTGGCCAAGGCTAGGCTATTGCTCTTCCTTGTATAGCTATCTTATCCATCTTACACTGTGAGAATTAAAAAGGATGGTGCAGATGTAAAGCTGATTTATGAATAACAGAATGAACCTAATAACAACTGTATCAACATGAAAAGACACATTGCCTGTCCACATTTTTCCTCTGCACTACAAATGTCAGAATTAGAACATTGGATTGGCCAAACGGGAAAGAATGGTTCATCAGTGTCGCTCTAGCGATCGTCAAACCTGTGTATGAGCCCCCATGCCACAGGGCCTGAACGACCTGAAATGACGCATCACGGAAGCCGTGAAATCAATATCTGAAGATATACTGGCATGAGTCTGGACAGAGCTGGATTGTCGTCTGGACATCTGTCGTGTCTCACATTGAACATTTGTAGTGCAGAGGTAAAACTCGGGGAGTTAAAGTGATACTAAACACAGACTGTTTCATTTACATTCTCCCTTCTCTTTCTGTATGTGGCTGATGGCTCTGTAATTCATTTATTTTAAAAAAGTACCTTTTTCCTAATCGATATACAGCTGTCACATGACCCAGCTCTTTACCAGCCTGTCTGCAGGGAAACAATGACAGAGGAGCTTCTAGTCCTCTGCTGCTGGTCACATGTTCAAAGTTTAAAAAAAAAAAAAAAGGAATAAGTCTTTGGGATACAGAGTGAAATAAGGATTATTAATCTCTTCACGCCGGCCGAACGCAAATGTGCGGCCTTCCGGTGTCTGGGCCTAGACGCCGAGCGGCTGAACATTTGCGTTCTATTACAAAGCGCGCGCCCTGCATGCTTTCAGCACACATGTCCAGTACTCGAGGAAAGATCCCGATCTCCTCTTTCGATCGGGACTTTTCCCAATCATGTGACCGCCGTGACGACGCGTCACGGCGGTCACATGACCCTAAACCCCACCCCACCTCCTGGCTTCTGAAACACTTAAAAGGCTGGGAGGCGCCGGCATAAAGGGGGTTAATAAACTGTAATAAATCGTCATAAAATATATATTTGAAATCAAATATTTTTTTTTTTTTTGGCAATAGCATGGTGTGGGTGGATTTCTGTCAGTCACAGGCTGTATCACACCCCTCCAGTCTTTGTCTTAGAAAAACAGTGAAGTGAAGCCGCCATCAATCAAGATGTAATATCTCGCCCCCATTGCGTTTAGCTGGTTAGTAGGCATGGAGAAGGAAGGCGGAAGTGGGCTGTCATTTGCCACTGTGTATACACCCACATGTTTGACTCTGTAGTCACATAGGCTGCTCAGATGTGATAGGAAGGAAATGCTCAGCATAGAAATGCACTAAAAACTGAGCATGTGCAGAAGCTGCCCCCCCACTGCTCTGCAAAATCTCCAACTGCATTTGGGGACATAGAGAAAGAGAAAGAACAGCAGGATCAGCCAGGTTTTTTGCAGATTACAGAAAATGAATCCCATAGTGAGTGAATGAATGTGAACAGCACGTAATTCTTTAGGTGCACCCTGAAAACCCATCTCTTCAGGGAAACCTACCCCACCCCCTGCTAACTTGCCGACCTCCTCCACTCTTCCTACCACTCCATCCCCCCACAGCTATCTCCTCCTGTGCCACCATCCCCTCCCTCCTAGATTGTAAGCTTGAAAGAGCAGGGCCCTCTATCCCCTCATGTTTTGCATTGTATTGGTATTGTTCTGTCACATGTTCTGCCCCCCCTTTGTAATGTACAGCGCTGAGCGAACTATTGGCGCTTTATAAATACTGTATAATAATAATAATAATACACCATATACCAGTAGTTTTTTTATGATGTGGGTTTAGTGACACTTTAATGTGTCTTTTCATGTTAATACAGTTATTAGGTTCACTCCATTATGAATAAATCAGCTTTACTTTTGCACCATCCTTTTTGAATCGCTCTGTATATGTTTTCTTCTATCATAAATAGAAATGCATTTATCTCGTATAAGTGTCTTTACTTTGGCTTTTCTAAGGCAAATTAACACCAGTCAAACAAGAAATGTTCAAATTCTAAGAGGTGATCTAACTGAGGGGTGTTTCTTTGAGCATCAGAGCACCACTGATGGAAGCAATACCTTGCTTTTAGTGTCAGAACTCACCCCTTGCACTGAAGTTGTTCTTGTGACTTAGTGTGTGTGTAGACAGTGTGTCTTGGGCTTTGTATATACAGTCTTCAGTATGGGATGGAAGGGCCCATCTACATTTTTTAAATGCATGTTGCAGTAAGGCAGGTCATTGAAATGAATGGGCTGCCAATGCACCAAAGCGCCCCTAAAATTGGACATGCTGCAAATTCTGTAATGCACTACAGTATGTATGGCATGCTACAATGCATGTGTTTGACCATAGTGTTTTGGGGTAGCATTCAAAGTGAATCGCACAGCAACGTATGTAATGTCATTCAACCCACCTCTTATGAGCCCAGGCTGTCATGGACACCTCGTGTTGGTGGACCATCACACTAGCCTCAGATCATAGCACAATGATGTAGAGATTGGTGGCCAGGTTACTACGTGAACCTGTCTGCATTATTGAGGACCGTGCTTGTCACATGATTAGACTAAAGACACCTAAAAGGATGTATATTGATTTTTTTTTTTTAATAAATGTGGCAGAGTGGAGTAGAATCTTTGAGTAGATCACTAACCTACTGAAATATGGAAGGATTGCTATGGAGCACCACACAAACACGGGGGGGGGGGGAGAACATACAAATAAGGGTTCTCAGTAGGAATAAAGTCCAGCAACTCCAGACTAGCAGGGGAGTAGTGCTGACCAACGTTCGGTTAATGGGGCAATTCTAACATTTCAGATAACTTTGATAAACTCGGCCTAATTACTGATAGTGAGGTATGTTCAGATCTTTGTTCTGGTGTATTTTGGTTTTATGTTCAGATCTTCATTCCAGTATATCCCTAAATCTTCATTTCTGATTTTGTTGCTGAAGGACAGTCTTGGTGGGAACAGCAAAACTGCCATGGTGGCCACAGTCAGCCCTGCTGCTGATAACTACGATGAGACTCTTTCCACTCTGCGCTATGCCGACAGGGCCAAGAACATCGTCAACCACGCCGTAGTCAACGAGGACCCCAACGCTCGAATCATCCGAGAGCTGCGAGAAGAGGTGGAGAAGCTGCGGGAGCAGCTGACGCAGGCTGAGGTGACACTTTTTCAGACCTTCTGTAACTGGGAGCCAATCGGCACATAGATTTCCCAATTATACGGCTCAAACGTATTTGCTTAAAGCTGAAAGAGTACGTGTCTGCTACACAGTGTGGTCGGGCAGTACATACCTTCTTCCCTGTAGGATAGCCCATTGTCAAAATACATGCAGTGTACCCAAAATGTTATTTTACATTATCCCCCATTACAACAACCTTTACTGTGCACCCCTGCCCAGAGCTGAACAACCCTTTTTCCCAAAGGCATCTCCTTCAGGGTCCTCTTTATCCTGCACATGCACATTTCACTGCCATTCATTCCAAAGGGGAGGTGGTGGCCCCATAAAATATTTTCATTTGTGTATGTAGCCAGTTAGATTTTAAAGTGGTTGTGAACCTCAAGACATGAAACATGAACAAAGCATATCCCTCTATAGTGTGTACTTGTCTCAGTTAAGAGCACTAAGTGCCTTTTCTGTCTGCTGCTTCGTTCCCTCTGCTTCAGCATGAATCACTTCAGTCAAGTTTTCCTGACTCCAAGAGAAAAATGGTGCCGGGGAGGGGCCTTCAGCAAATTGACAGCCTCAATTTTGGGGGTGTTTTTTCTCTCCAGTCAGCTCTCAGAGCTCTCTTCACTGAGCTCTGCAGTGTGTAAGTTCAGCTCTCCACCCCCTGTTTTCTGAACTCTCAGACAAGCTTTATAAATTCTGCATTTTGAACAGATGTAGAGAAAACCGCAGATAAAACCGGTACAACTTGTGTACAATTTGTTTTCTCTCTCTGTACCACCTGAGGCCAGTTACTTCACTGATTATATGGAAAGGCTTACAACCAATTTAATGGAAACCTTTAGGCAAGGACCAACCATTCAACCAGCTTTCAATATCCTAAACAGAATTGAATGTATCTCACCACTGACAGTTTCCAAGGCACCTTGAAATGATCTGAGGTGTTGATGGTAGGGTGCCTTGTTCTGTTTAGCTGTTCATAGGATTGAAATCTGGATGAATGTTTATGAAATTATTACCATTAAGATAGCCGTACATGATATTACCTGATTAGACCAGTAGTCTCCAAATGGCAGCCCATGGGCGAGATGCTGCACCTTGCTTGTTTTTTTTCTGGCCCTTAACCACTTCCCATCCGGCCCATGTACATAAACGGCTGGATGGGAGCAGTGCAGGAGCGGGTGGCCGTTTATAAACGTCCTCCCGCTTCCCTGCTTGTGCATGCTCCCTAGGAGCGCGCAGCACCGTGATCCAGTGCCCGCTATGTCCTCTGGACACAGCGGAAAAACTGATCGCTGTATGGGACTTCTGTGTGAGGTCCCAATCATGTGATCACTGATTGGCCAATCAGCGATCACATGAATAGTAGTAAGCAAGATGTGACTTCTGACATCATTGCTTACTACATGTGAAATCTGTGAATGATCACAGAGCTATTCACAACAGCCTTGTACCATGTGACAAGCTTTGACCAATCACAGCTCTCAAAATGTTTCTCAATGGCTGCAAGAATGCAACCAGAGAGAAGGAGAAATTATTGTTTTTACAGCCTTAATGGGTGTAAAAGCAATCCGTGTAAAAAAAAAAAAAAAAAAAAAATCTTCATCACCCGACACAAGTAGTACCGTGTCACTATGGTGACACTGTACTGCTAGGGTGACAGTTTGTTTAAAAAAAAAAAAAAAAAAAAAACATAAATAGTAATATAAAAATGTAAAAAAAAAAAATTTGAAAAATTATAATTTTTGGTTATAAACTAATTTGGGTTATTTTTTTTTTGTTTTTGCTAAAAAGATAACCAAGTACATTTTGGCCAAGATTTATGAAGAAAGGTTATTTATTTGCAAAATTTTATAAGAAAAACACTTTTTTTTTTTTTGCAAAATTTTTGGAGTTTTTCATTTGTATAGCAAAAAAAAACAAAAACAAAATCCCAGTGGTGAATAAATATCACCAAAACAAAGTTTTATCTGTTTCAAAAAAATGATAAAAAATTCATATGGGTACAGTGTTGCATGACCGCACAATTGTCATTCAAAGTGTGATAGCACTGAAAGCTGAAAATTGGCCTGGACAGGAAGGGGGTGAAAGTGTCCGGACTTGAAGTGGTTAATGCACTATTTCATCCACTGATGCCAACAACGGAGCATACTTCCTCACTGACATCAACAAAGGGACACAATTCCTCTCACTGACACCAATGGGGCATTGTTTTTAACGCTGAGATTAGGACCTTTTCTTCTCCCAGTGTCCACAGTTTGGCCTCCTTTAAAGTCTGAAGGACCGTAAAATGGCCTTTTGTTTAGAAAGTTTGGAGATGCCTGCTTAAGACCTACCAAAAACTATGTTGTTCAAAGATAAACACCTCTTGATACCAAAGTCAGTCCAGACTATTAAAGGATAAGTTCACCTTTTGACAAAAAAATATTAAATGCACATTTTTTTTGCAGGTTAAGAAAATGTGCATTTATTGTTTTTGGTTGCAGGAGCCTGGAAAACATTGCACCGGCGATCAGCAGATCATGAATGCCATGCAGGTCTTCTGCAGACCTGTCAGTATATCTGCTTGCCATACTGCAGGGATGTATTTACCACAAGGCAAACAAGGCATTTGCCTAGGGCAGCATTTTTTAGGGGGGCAGCACCACCCCCTGGAAGAAGGGACAGAAGAAGGGATACATGCAGCATGGGGACCAGGTGGGATCCGAGAGGGGCTGCTTGATGGTGTACGGAGAGCCCGACTCTCGTTCCCGGGGATGTCCTGAGCTGTGAAGGTGAGCTGGGGGGGAAGAATGTTAGTGGAAGGTTCTCTCAGGTGGGAGGTGGCTGTTGTTGGTCAATGTCAGGCTCTCTCCGTGGGGGGCACCCAATTTTTGTGTTGCCTAGGGCAGCACAAAACCTAAATACACCACTGCCGTACTGGATGTATGGGCAAGCAGATATACTGACAGGAAGAATCCATGAACTACCATGTCGCTCCAACAGTGCTGTGGTGGTTCATTGAGAACTACAAGGTGATAGCCGCTAAGGGCTCATGTACACTGCAGCTGATAAACTCACGTTTAGGATCTGTTCAGCGTTTTTTTCAGCAGCCCCTGAACTCCCCCTAATGTTTTCCTATGTGTCCATGTACACTATATCATTTACAGGCAGTTGAGTTTACAGTTGTTTTTTTGAACGCAGAAAACGTGTGTTTTGGAGTAGATTTTATCAGCGCTTGTAAATGTTTATAAACGCGGCTAACTGCGTTTATAAGCGTTTGCGTTTGGATTTTTTTTTAACGCCTCCATTTCCAGATGCTGTCCAGAGCCTTTTTTCATCATGAAAATGCATGCAAAGTATTTTCCCGGTACTCAAATGGACCCGATACACCATACTTTGAGGATTCGCATGAAAGAAAATACGTTAGACACTGCTGCAATAATTTCTGCAGAGAAATGAGCTGGAACACATCCAAACACCACAAAAAAAAAAGACCGCTAATCTCAACAAATACTACTCTCTCTGCTTCTGCTCTCTCTCTTTCTCTCAGAATGTCTGAAATAGTTACATTTTGACTGTTTTTCAGTGCATTCGGGGCATTTTGGAAGGTGTCCTGAGGTTATCTTTAAAAACGCTTCTAAACGCAAACACACATAAACGCGGCTAAACTGACATTTTTTAATCTACGTTTTCCAGCAGTCAGTTTTCCATCGTTCAGAAGTGTCCCGTGTACATAGAGCCTAAGGCTGTCAGGATTTGTAGTTTTCTCATTCACAGAGGACTTTTTAAAAACTTTTGACAGCTAACGGGAGAAGATCTCCCACTAGCCGTCAAAGTGAGGGAGTGGGGGCGGGTCCAGGGGCGGACTGAACATTTGGAAACTCGGGCACTGCCCGAGGGCCTGGGGTCAGTAGGGGGCCCCATGAGATGCCCCTGGTACCTTTTTCATAGGCTTTTTTGAGTTTGGGCAAGGACACAGGGGCCCCATGATCCCCTACTGCCCGGGGGCCCCATGAGTTGTCAGTCCGCCCCTGGGGCCGGTCCATTCATAACATGTTATGGATGTAACATGTAACATGTTATGAAAGGTGAACTTTAATTTTAACACTGATCTCCAGCATTACCTTCATCTCACACAGTTGTACAGGTTCCTTTCCTGACATTGCTTACTCTGATTTCACTGCATACTGTGAGCTTCTCATGATGTGCATTAGAAGCAGCTGCATCAAGTCAGATAGAGCCTGCTTCATTTCCTGGCTGGAGGACATCCAGCATCATCTAGCTTTTTCCCCCCTTGCTTAATTGTCCCTATCCTTCCCCTTTCCTTCATTGGATTTTATTTAATCCAATCATGGAGGCTCAGCATTACCTAGGATGGTCTGCATGCAAATACAGCTTGCCTAGGAACGCCCACTCCTCCAAACTGACATCCACCTATCAGGGTGGTTTGATTTCTGCATAACTCCTCCCAAGAGCCAGCCCACTGCTTGGATCCGTGCTGGGGGCTTTTAAAGGCAGGGTGCTGTGATATGTGCAGGAAGCTATGTACTACCTTGCTGGCACCTCTCACCAGATATCTCCTGACTGCATAGAGAGGAACAGAGACCCAGCGATGACCGTTCAGCTTTAATAGTGTTCAGAGGTATTTGTGTCATTAGACAAGGCGTTCTTTGCAGTGTCTGGACTTATGTCCCTAGTGGATTCTTAGTGGAATCAGGAATATTTTTTTAAGATGTGTAGTATTTTTAGAATGTCTTGGCTGCCACTGTTAAGCCCAGTTCACATGGGATTATTAGAATGATAAGTACAGGAGAGAGCACCAGTCAGGAGGGTAGTGGTATTCAGTAAGCCATAACATGTCCATTCTGGAACATTTAAAAAGACCTTAAAAAATAAGTTTTATTTCTTTTTAATACACGTAGTCCTTGGTCCCGTCTTCCTACATGCTGTGGAAGACTAGATTTGTGGTCAGACAAGACACCTGCCCTCCCGCCATGGCTGTCCAACAA